CAGCAGCAGCACAGTGTCCAGACTTAAACCCCATGGAGCTGGTTTGAGATGAACTGGACAGAAGAGTGAAGCAACCTACAAGTGCCACACATTTATGAGAACTTCTGCAACAGACTTGGGAAGAACTTTCTGAAGAATATTTGATTTCTGTTGTAAAAAGAACGAGCCACGAGTGTGTTCAGCTGTTCTATCTGCCAAAGGTGAACACTTTCATTGATCAGTAAACAGTAAAAAATTTGAAAAATTGGTGTCCTAAAACTTTTGACCAGTAGAGTATGTATGGCCACTGTATTTAAAATGTATTATTAAACCATAAATGAACAAAGTAAAGGTAATCAAGAGCATGTTTAAAAGCCAATAAGAATACCAAGAACGCAGAACAGAACTTATACTATAGGACCTTCTAGGACTCAGATGGTGTCTCTATTGTTTGTCCCGGCTTTGGTGTGAAGGTTACAGGGTGAGTCTGAAATAGCAGGAGCTTATCACATGACAAAAGAACATCTCAGCACCTGGAGCTCCAGGATCCAGTGTCCCTCTGCCAAACGCTTTTACACCGATGCTCTGCCAAACTCTTCTTAGAAACACTTACATTATCCCCCCGGGAATAGAACCTGCAACTGGTCCTTTGTGCAATAGGCTGGGTTCATGCTGGAGAATTTTTAAATCTCAAATAGAGGACAGAGATGAATACTGTACAGGGTATTACTTTTAACAGCCCTACTAATTATTAAATGAACTAAAACGAGCTCATATTACACCATTTTCTGACCTATGTTATGACATTTTCTCATCACAAACAGATCTGGAGTTTGTTTCCTTCACACATGTTTAACACACAAATCCTGCAAATTTAGTTTAGCAAAGTTCTTCCAACTTGTGATGTCATGTGGTAATACAGGAAATGCTTCACCGTGTTTTTAAACTCCGTACACCTTCAGTAGAATCATTCGGATCATTTCAGCACTGGAATTGTCAGGTAAAAGGAGCTGTTGAGGCCTGAACCTGAAAACTACCACTTCATGACATCACAAGGTGGAACAGAGCATTTTGACCTTTGGAGATGTAAACAGATTAATAATAAAGGATACATTTTGTGTAATATAAGACCTTTTTTTAGCATGGTATACATACCTCACTACATACCTGTGTTTTGTTGTATGTTGGGTATGTTTGAGTAATCCTGCATATTTGGGCCTTACCAGAACTGCACCACTCTGTGATGTCATTAGGTGTGAGGTCTATAGTTTCTAGATCAATTTATCAGTTGGCTAATTATAGAATTGTATAGCTGATAGTATAATCTGTATATAAGAATTGAAGGTGAGGTGGCTGAGGTGCCCAGGCGTCTCCCTCAGGAGGTGTTCATGTCCCACCAGGAGGAGGCCCCAGGGAAGAACCAGGACACACTGAAGGGACTATGTCTCTGGGCTGGCCTGGGAACGGTTCGAGGTCCCCCCGGAGGAGATGAAGGAAGTGTCTGGGGTGAAGGAAGTCTGGGAGTCCCTACTTAGACTGCTGCCTCCGGATAAGTGGAAGAAAATGGATGGATGGATATAGCAATAGAAAATGTACAACTGTTGGACCCAATACTTTCTGTTCTAGATTGTGAAATAAATTGACCACAGTATGCTGCCTGCAATTATAATTATAATTACAGTATAATCATCTCCAGTGAACCAAGAATTATAGCTCTGACAGCATGCTAGTTGCATGAACGTTGTGAAAAGTATTTATAATGTCAATGTCGTGAATAATCAGAATGCTCTGAATGTAAGTGGTAAGGTAAGTGAGGAAGAACTTTGGACAACTGTCATTTTAAAATGAATTAGTTCTGTTTTCCAAAACTTTTCTTGGGTGGTACTTGGTGTGAAACATTTGTGAAACACTACTTTATAAAAAAAAAAAAGAAAAAAAAAGAAAATCTGACTCACGTTCCACGTTGAGCTTGACCTGCGTGCGGTCGTGCAGGGTCTCGCAGCGGTAGGTCCCCCGGTCGGACAGGGTCAGGTTGTGGATGGTCAGACTGCGCACACGCCCGTCCTGCGTGAGCGTGTACCTGGGGCCCGGCTGTATGACCACCCCCTGCCTCATCCACTGCACCTCCCCCGTCTCCAGGCTGATCTCCGTCTGCAGCGTGGCGTCCTCAAACTCCTCCGCCATCACTGAGTCCATCCTCTTTGTGAACATGATCTGAGCCTCTGAAAACAAAAACACAAAATCACATGAATTGCACTGAAAAGGAACCAGATGAAAGATTCTGATTTTAAATTTCATAAACATAACCTAAGTGCATGTCCCCAGATATGAGGTAAACATGTTCAAATCAAGTATGGCTTTTACTCATAACAATTCTAATGCAGATTTATTCTTAATTCCTCCCCCCAAAAAACAAAAAACATTAAACTTCATGGACAATAGACAAAAAGCAGAATAACTCCTCATGACCTAAACTACTTAAAAACTACCTAAAAAGAGTGCAGGCTACATATACTTCCTTTCATTTTTCAAAACTTTGTATTTTCAGAATATATATTTAATCTGTTTGTTTAGGAGCAGGGTTTGTAAGACTAGTTCAGTTTCAGTCCAGTTACAGCCTGTAGAAACACACTGGTGTACCCCTGTGTACCCCATGTGACCAAAACATAAACCTCAGATTTTGCCCATTAACATTATCTGAGATTACAGTTTGAAAGTAGTTATAAATATATTCTGCAAAGTATCTCTTGGGCCAAAAACATTTACATCACTGTGGGTAGTTCCAGTTCATTAAGTAGGATTCTTTAAATGGAGTAGGTGTAATCCCTCACTGGTCCGGGAATGGTCTGTGGTAGAAAATTATTCTTTTGCCAGAAGGACAAGCTCATCTTTGGCGCCGTCTCAGTGGCTCGATGGCACCTGGCAGACACTGTAGAACCTAATGCCAGTATTTGTGGCACCTGATGTGGCACCTGCCAGACCTTCTGTGACTCCTGTCACCTGTAATCTAAGTTCTCTTCTATGGCAGCGTTTCAACCATTCAACCAGGGGCACGACGACCAGAGGACGCAGGGACCCTGGGGCCACAAGAGCACCTGCCAGAGGACACTTGGAATCCTTTCATACTGTAAAGAAAGGTGGCACTGAATATAAAATAGTCTTTGACATACATTTTATGTCCTTAAGGATGTTTTTGAATGATTTTAGAAAATATAATAGTTATAATTGGCAATGTATTAGAAAACTGAATCATAATTACTAAAGAAACTCAGCAGGCAGCATTAACAAGGAGTACTCAATGTGAGAGAAGGGTCCAGCTGCAGCCTGGGTGTTTCCATCATGACACAAGAAAACCCACTGGACGTTCCTGGTAGCAGAGTTTTGCAATGGACACTGGGTATAACGTCATTTGCCTGGGAATTTTCGTATGTCAATGGAGCCGCTTTGTCTTCGCTGAAAGACCATGATGTCAATAAGTTGGCTATTTATTTCAACAACATTAACTGAGAAGTGTTCTTCTGTTGGCTGTATCACTGATATAACAGTGTGAGACAGTGCTTAGGGGTCAGGTGCCACGAATACTGCCAGGTGCCATATCTGCTTAGATGAAAATAAAAATCACTGCTCTGTGTATCTGAAAATTAAGAAACTTTAAACTTTTGTCTACATCATTAAATGGTTCCCTTTGTATGCACATAAGTATAAATACAATATAGATACAAATTAAACATATCAAATTTAAAAAGGCATTCCAAAAACAGTAGCAAATACATGCAATAAAATAATCCTGTGTAGGAGTCATCAGCGTCTCTTACCCTGTACTTTGAGGCTGGCCTTGCTGACCTTGCCCTCTGCCTCTGCACTGATGCGGGCGCAGTCTAACATCTGGCACTTGTGTATGACCAGAGTGTGGCACAGGCCGTTGCGCATGGCCTCGAAGCGCCCGCCCAACACTATGGGCTCGTTGTCCATCGTCCACACCAGGCTCACGTCCTCTGGAGAAACCACACACTTAAAGGTGGCATCCTCCCCCTCCAGCACCGTGGTGTTGTGGAGCTCTGTCAGGAACTCTACCACCCGAGGCACTGGGAGAAAACAAAAAAGAAACAGTTAAAGAGGACATCATCTTTAAAGGTCCGATGTCACACGAAATGGACTCTTGTGAGCTTTAAGTCATGTTAGAATGTTGTTATCTCATTAAAAACATACCTGGAGTTGTTTTGTTTCATTCACATGTTTGAGTAATCCTGAGTTATTAGTGAAGTTTGACTTTTCAAGTTATCTGCTACTTTTATCGTTAGTTCAGAAGTTAGATTGGAAATTACAGGGCTGAAATTGAAGGTGTATAGAGTTTAAAAACACAATGGAGCCCTTCCTGTATTAGAGTGTGTAGTGTGTGTTTTCAGTAAAATATGCAAGATTTGTGTGTTAAAAATGTGTGAATGAAACAAAACACAACTCCAAGCATGTTTGTAATGAGGAAACATTATAACAAAAATCTGAAAATAGTGTCATATGGACCCTTTAAAAGTGCACTGTGTAACTTTTCTGGTGGAGGGGCCATCAAATGCCAAATTAAACCTTTCTATTGTCATGGAGACCAAACCTGACCAAGTTACGGGTCAGATCTGTGGAGAGGTGACCCTGCTCACAGTCAGAATGCCTGTTTTTCTGTATTTCTGAGCAATAAAACCACCAGTAATTTAATAATTGCAAGGTAGAAATGTTTAATGTCACACTGTGAAACATTTCAGGCAGAGCAATGACATATCCATATGTGCTGCACAGCAGGGGGCACGCTTTATTTTTTTAGGACTTACCTGACACCACCTTCCTGTCAGCTTCCTGGTGTCAAGTAAGGTTTTAAACAATCTCCTCCCTTTTAATAATTTAACCTTTTCTTAAACTGGTTTTAAGAAAAGGCTAAAATTCGTTGTTCATTAGAGCTGAAATTATACCAGAGGCAGACCTGTGTATTGAAACTTGAGGTAGGACGGGTAGTTTTTAAATCAGGGTTTAAAACATGGTTTTAATCCTTTGTTTTAAGGCTAATCTGTCCTTTTATCATAGGATTTTGGTCTGCTACTGTTTTGTTCTGTTTTGTTTTACCGTTTTGTTTTACTAGTTTATTTCTGTTTAGTATTGTTTGTTAAACGTTGGTATATTTTAGCTCTATTGCACCTTTTAAATAAATGTGTGTTTTATTGTTGACGTCCCTGGACTTTTAGCTTTTAGTTCTAGTTTTAGTTTTAGTTCTAGTTTTAAGTTCCTGGGTCGTACTTGGGAGGGGTTTTCGTTCACACTTTGTGTTTTAAGTTATTTTAGATGTGATTGCATTGTAGCATTTTCTGTTTTGTTCTGGGTGGAGCTACCCCCTCTCAAGTCGTCCTTGTTTGGTTAAGTTGTAACATTTATTTCTGTTTTTTCAGATTTGGTTCCGCTGCCCAGGGGCTGCAAGGTTTTATCCTTCTTTTAGTACATTTTATGAATTTTGGTCATTTTATCATTTTAACCTTCTGTCTGGCTCCTTTTATAGAATAAATAATTTTACATTTCTACTTGCCCCTTTTAGTCTTTTAATAAATTTTAATTATACCTTTAAGTCACGTCTCTGTCCTCTCTATTTTACATACTTTACCTGTGGCCTTGGTCATTTTATGTGTCTTATTTATCTATTTATTGAAATCAAAAGGGGTACCTAAGGTCACACACAGAAACAAGCAGGTGATGGACTCCAAACCAAAAAGTTACATAGTGAACCTTTAAAGGCCTCTGATTTTTGAGACTTTTGACAGCCCTTGTATACTCACTCTCCACGGCCAGTATAGCCGCCGTCCGGTCGTCCTTAGACTCGCACGCGTACTCCCCGGCGTCGTCCCGGGTCAGTCTGTGTATGGTCAGGCTCCTCTCCGTCCCGTCCGCCCTGATGGTGTATCGTCGGCTCGGCACGATCTCCTCTCCGTTCCTCAGCCACTGGACGTCCGCTTTGGGCCTCCCCACCTCGCAGCTCAGGGTCACCATCCCGTCCGCGTGGGCCACCATGTCCTGCAGGGGGCGCGTGAACTTCACTCGCATTTCTGTGGAGGGAAAAGTTGTGTTCAAGTTTACAGTGTTGTTCATCGATCAGGTTTGACGAGCAGGCTGAAGTGTGTGTGTCTGTGTGTGTGTGTGTGTGTGTGTGTGTGTGTGTGTGTGTGTGTGTGTGTGTGTACCTTTGACGAGCAGGCTGAAGTGGACCTGGTCAGTGTGTGCGTCACATGTGTACTCTCCAGCGTCAGATCTCCTCAGGGGGTCTATAGTCAGAGTGCGCTTGTATCCGTCCGCCTCACTCTTAAAGCGCTCTCCTTCCACCGGGCTCCAGTCCTTGAGCCAGCGCACCAGAGCGTTGTCCCGGGACACGTAACTGCTCATGGTCAGACTCTCTGCTTCATACCCGATCAGAACTATGTCCTCCTCTTTGTTTAGGAACGTGACCGGAGATTCTGCAGAGAAATATGACAGCATTAGCAGGGTAGGTCTGAAATGTTTTCATACAAATAGGAATAAGACAATGTATGCTGTTCAATCAATGTCTTCTTTTTTTTTTTCTTCATTTTTGCTCAAAATTGATGAAACAATTTTCTGGAGGTCACCTGCCTGCTCTCATGGGAACAAGTTAAACCCATACTTCGGAACATTCTCCATGTGCTTTATGCTATATTGTGGAAGATTACAGGTAAATAAGAGGCTAAATAAGAGTCAGGTTTGTGGAGATGCAAGCTCATTCAGATGAAGCACAAATGGTTTTCTATTTTTTTTAGTGCATCAAAAACATTCAAAATGAAAATAAATAATGCCAAAGTTACGCCGTGGGGCTTTAAATCCTACATTTATTCATTTATTTATAGTGCATTTTTTATTTTATTTATTTAAAAGGGACAATGCATATTCATAAACATATACTTATAAATACGCCAGAATTAGCCCGAAGGCTACTTTACATCTATAGTCCTCGGCAGGTCAGAGAGACAGAAAACATAAGACAAAGTCACACAATAAACAAACTGTCAATGACAATTCACAGAACAAACATGGCAGAAACAGCACAATAAGACACAATCATGACATACAACACTGACATTCATCTAGGAGCAGAACATTAGTGATCACAAATCTGGTTTCTCTCTTAAGCCATCTTTTCAGGTTGGTTTTAAATGTGAAATTTTGATCCTCCATAAGACACAGGTACCTTTAGCTCTTACATTACATTACTAGTACTTAAGATCTGCTACTTGCCACTTGCACGATTGACCATAAACCCCACATACCTTGCACTCTGATGATGCTGACCATCTTGTCATCCCCGGCGTCGCAGATGTACTTCCCGGAGTCGGAGGGCTGGACGTCAGAGATGATGATTTTGCGCAGAGTTCCGTAGCTCTCGATGTAAACACGGGGGTCGTCTGTGAGCAGCCTGTCGTTACAGAACCACCGCACCGGAGCGTTGGCCCGGGACACTTCACAGGCTAAGATCAGCTCATCTCCTGCCACCATCTCCTGGAAGTCCACATCACATGAGTTTCCAATGATACGCACTGGAGGCTCTGAAAACAAGACAACAAGAAGAGGGTTTAAAGGAGAAGCGAAACGAAAAAAAAAATACAGATTGTTTTGTAAGTTTCTATGGTTTCAGTTACATTCAGTGTTACATTTTTGGCCCTATACATTTATGTTTAATTCTATTTTTGTATTCCTTACCTTGAACAGTGACTTGAAAGCTGATCGCATCGTCCCCAGCGTCCAGGAAGTACTCGCCACTGTCCTCCAGCTCAGCGCTCAGTATGACCAGAGAGCGGAAAGCCCCCTCCTCCTCCACGCACAGACGATCGTGGTTCTCTATGCGCTCGCCGTTTTTGTACCATTTGGTCACAGCGTTGGGCCTGGACAGCTCACACTCCAGAACCACGTCATCAGAGAGAGTCGAGGTCACGCTGGTGTTTACGCTGGACTTGTTTAAGATCTTCACTGGAGGCTCTGCAAAAGAAAGAATTTACATAAAGTTAGCTAAATATCAACAATAATATATGCAGTGGTGGGGATGATTCTGCAGTGTTTGTGTTGAATGCAGCTCTGGTCTTCAAAATACAGACCCACCCACTTCTCCTATTGGTTATGCTCGGAGTGAGTCACAGGTGAGATTAACCAATCACTCTAAACTTTGAAGTCTCAGAAGACCCAGACACTTTCACTTCATAATGCAATATTCAAATAAGTGTAACAAGAATCAAATCTAAACTGTGAACTTCTATCTGTCTATAAATTGCGAATGTCTACTAAATGTCAATTTTTTTCACCTTAAAATCAACATTTGGGTAGCACTTTATAATAACTTCGAGAAATCCACTGATCCGGCATTTTCAGTTCCAATAACAACTTTGATATTATAGCTTTAAGTATCTGCTGATATCCAGTATTAGTGTTGCAGTCAAGACCGCACTAATCGAGACCAAGACCAGTCCGAGACCACAGGGTCCCAAGACCAGGACAAGACCAAGATCCCTGAGGGTCAAGACCGAGACAAGACCAAGACTTTTAAAGGTCATTTTTCAACATTTATTTGTTTTACAGTTATTTTGGCACATTTAAATCTATATTTTTTATAAATCTATCTCCATTTTATCACTCGTTGAGTGTCAGACCTCGAGAATGAAACAAGACCGAGTCCAAGCTCCTTTAAGACCGAAACAAGTCTGAGTCTAAGCACCTTCAAGACCGAGACAAGACCAAGCCCAATCGCGGTCAAGTCTGAGATGAGACCAAGACCATAAAAAAAGGTCTCAAGTTCGGCCTTGAGACCGTTTTTTTATGGTCTTGGCCTTGAGTACTACGACGCTACCCAATATTAATTGATAACAAAAATAAAGTTCAAACATTATAAGAACATCTGGGTCAACTATGACCAGTTAATAGCCCTATTACATCAGTTTATATACTTAATCCAGCAATTTTTTTTTTGGATTCTCTATTTAAAACTAATGCATGACGAAACACTTAATTCTTAATGAACAATAAATTCAGGCTTAGTAATTACTTAAGGGAGTATAGGGTTAGGGTATAAATTGAAGGCACATCATGTAACTTGCGGCTCGTCACCTCATGATTCCAGTCCATCAGTTATGTTATTTAGTTTAAATGTGAAGTTCCAAGAATAATATTATCCAGTGTATATGTATTTTTACCTGAAACTTTCACTTGAAAATGTATCTGATTGTCGGTGGCGTCGCAGGTGTATTTCCCGGTGTCCGAGGGGGAGGGGCAGTGGATGGTCAGTCGTCTCACCAGTCCTTCCGCTGACATGGTAACGTTTGGACTCTCCTGTATCTGCTGACCATCCAGGAGCCACGTCACATCTGCGCTTGGGCGAGACACCTCCACCTCCAGAACTATGGGTTTGTCTGTGCTGCACTTCAGAGTCTCCGGGAGGTGTTTGGGCCGAGAGAGAGCAACAGCAGGTTCTGTAAAGGAAAATGTAAAAAGGGAATTGATGAGGCTGATTCATTTGTATAGTTTCACATACAGAGAAAAAAAAACATATGTATAATATTTAAACTTTTTAAAATATCTGATGGCAAATTTCTTGGCAAATAGCTAGATACAGATTACATTTGCTTCTCTGGAAATAAATAAATAAATAAATAAATAAGATTCAGTTCATGCAATAAAAAAGTAGTATTTTAGCCAAAATAAAAGTTCATATAGGGCTAAACTTTATCTCACTGCAAAATTTCAGACAATTATTGTAATGTGCAATTGTATTTGAACATAATTTATTTCCAAATCCAAATCCACTTTATTTATGTAGCACATTTTAAAGCAGTTTCCAAAGTGCTGCAAAGAGATAAAATAAATAAAATGAAGACAACAAATTTTTTTAAAAATTTGGTCATACTAGTCGTAAATCTGGATGAGGTCGGAGACGTAACGTGGGGCCTGTCCACTCAAAGCTTTAAAAACAAACAATAAAATCTTAAAATCAGTCAGTGCAACAACGCTTATTTGTTTTAATCCATTTCTTGGTACACATTTAAAAAACATCCAAGGGTGTTAACATCTGAGAGAAGACAGAAATCTGAACTGTGAAAGTAACACAAGAATCCCATGCATTTCAGAACAGGGTCTAAACTTCAGGGTTATTAGTAGCTTTCACATAGTATAAAACCTAACAGAGACACTGGGAGGGCATCTGACACAGTGGGTGAGCTACACATTCATCCCTACCTGTGATTGTGACTAAGAAGGCCACAGAATCGTCCTCAGTGTCACACACGTATTCCCCTGTGTCCTCCATCGTCGGGACAGGGATGACCAGTGTGCGTTTAGCTTCGTCCACTTCCAGATAGAGGTTGGGCCCCTCCTCCACCTCCAGCCCGTCCTTGTACCAGACGACCGGGGCATCCGGCTTAGACACTTCACAGCACAGGTCCAGTCTCTCCGAAGCCATGTGGGTCAGTTCTAACTCGGGTTCAGTCGGGTAGACGAAGCGAACTGGTGGCTCTGGAAGAGAAATGAGAACATCAGAATTATTCCCTAAATTAAAAATAATAATAATAATGCAATCATATGACCCATTTTAAGTAGATTAATCAAGTAGTAAATAATAAAAGTAGGAACTGTCTCTCCAAACTTGTACTTCAGTATCATAAACTTGACCTACCTGTCACATTGAGCTGGAAGAAGACAGAATCCCCGTCGGTTTCACACACATACTCTCCACTGTCCTCTGCTGTGGTCTCCAGGATGCTCAGTCTCCTGTATGGACCTTCTGAGATGATCTGGAGGTTGGTGCTCTCCTCCACGTCCTGACCGTCCTTGGACCAGCGCACTCGGCCGCTGCTCCTGGACAGCTCACACTGCAGATGCACGGCCTCACAGATGTAACAGTCCACCACCTGGTCGTCTTTAGGCTCCACGATCATCACCGGGGGCTCTGTACAGTTAGGAGTGAGAGAATTATTCAAGATTTTTTTTTCTCTCTTTTTACTGATTGATTTTTGGTTCGGGTGCCTCAGCTTTGGAATGACCTGGCTGAGGAGATAAGGCCAGCACTATTGCTCCTTTGTCTAAACTAAGTTCAGTACAATCCTTGCACTTGATATCCCACCAATGTGTCATATTTTAAATTACTAAAATTCCCAATAAATCAGAACAAAAATTAAAAACTTTCCATATTTTTACATATTTGTCAAAAATGCTGAATTTCCAGTACACTATCCCTCAAACTGCAAATGACTAAAAGTTTAAAAAAAAATGTTATGCCTGTTACATTTTCTCAGTTATAGATTTTGTAATGATTTTTTAAAAAGAACATAATACATATAATTTTAAAAACAGTAATATGAAAATGCAGAATATATATTTTTGTATATATATAATTTTTTGTCATTTTGAGGGAATGAATACCCAGCACATTAATAACAAAATAGCCATAAAACATAACGAAATATAAGACTAACACACATACAACAAAAAAACAAAACAACAACAAACAAGGAGCGGGGTTGTTGTGTGTAGTAGAGAGTTTCTCAATGCTGTGTTTGTATGTGTGTAGTTACATTTTAGGGCAAATCAAATTTCCATTTGCATATTTGTTGTTCCCTTATATGTTTTGTTTTTTGTTTAAAATAAAAAATAAAATAATACAGATTTAAATGTCTTCTTTTGTCTCTTGACGCAAGAGTTTAATGTTTGTAAATAAATTTCTTGCCACATGACCTTACGTCCTTTCAGAGGACTCACTGGATGGTATTTCATTAGATGCCCTGACGAAGACACAACCTGCAGCCAAACTCATTGGCTTGTCCCATGTAATAAAGGACTTGTATCTTCACTTCACTGTCTCAAACATTTTTGACTGCTTTTTAAACTTCGTCACTGTAAGTTTTTATGCTATAAGCACTGTCACTTTGACTGTCTGCTGAACTATTTGTCATAGGATACCTCTGATGTTGACAGTGAACTCCATGCTGTTGCTTCCTGCCTGACACACATACACTCCAGCGTCTGAGGCCTTAGCCGAGCGCACGATCAGCCTCCTCATGGTGCCCTCAGCCTGCAGCGTCACGTGCTCATCAGGACTAAGCTCACAGCCGTCCTTTAACCTGCACAAATCGAAGTATTATATTGAATAATTTCATTAAATTATATTATTTTTATGATCAAATGCGCTTCATAGTTTTAATATACACACTACCGGTCAAGTTTGGACACATTCTCATTCAATGTGTTTTCTTCATTTTTACTACTGTTTACATTGTAGATACAAACTGAAGACATCAAATATATGAAGTAAACAAAAACATGTTTTAAAAGGGCATATTATAGAGGCCAAGACATTTACCAGACCACTTCGGCATCCTCTCTGGAGACATGGCAGACCAGTACCACAGGGTCCAGCTCCATACTGCACTTATGCAGGTCCTCCTCAGGCACAGGGCTGAACAGCACTGGAGGACCTGTACACAAACAGAGAAGTGTTTTAGGGGTGTTCACACTTGCACAATCACCAACACCACTAACTTGTGCTCAAAAAGAAGGCATTATTAAATCTAGTTCTATTTTTTTTATTGTGGACAGACCCCAAATCAGAAACATTATACCATAGATTTCCAAACTACCCTCAGAAAGTGTAAAGTTCTTCTTACCAGCGACGTCCACCTTAAACTCAATAGTGTCGTGGTCAGTCTTGCAGGTGTAGACTCCAGAGTGCTCTTTATCAGCCTGGTGCACCACGATCCTCCTCATGGTCCCATCAGACTGGATGTTCAGCCCCTCGTTCACCTGCAGCTCCTCTCCGTCTTTGAACCACGACACTTTAGCAAACGGATGGGACACTTCACAGTACAGCACTATGGCATCTCCTGCGTCCACCTTTTTAACACTGTCCGACGGCGATAAAGGGGTGAAACTGAACACAGCAGCTAAAAAGAAAAGACAGAAATGATGTTAGTTCAGCGCTGTCTAACAGTTTGTCAAATTGCTACTTATTTAGAATTTATTATTACCATTTTTACCATTTATATTTTGGCTCTTTTTTATTATATTATATTGCGATGTGTGAGCTCCTGTGTCCAAATCATTTCCCTTGTGGATCAGTAAAGTTTGTCTAAGTCTAAGTCTTATTGAAATTCATATTAGAGGAGGTACAATTTTTCTTAAATTTAAAAGTACATATTAATATTCCTCCCACAAAAACAAACAAACGTATTATAAGCAAAGGTATACATTATTAACTACACTTCAGTGCTGCAGAGGCGACCTGTCAGGAGCAGTGGGACCTATCTCCAGATCTTGAGCTAGTCTTGACTACCTTAGCAGGAGGAGTTGGCATATTGTGCATATTTTATGTGGATGGAGGAAACTCAGACTCAGGCAGAACATGAAAACTTCACACAGAAAAGCCCAGACGACCAGGGCATCAAACCTGGACACTTCTTGCTGAGAGGTGTGCCACATGTTAGGTTATATATTTTTATGCACAAATAGTATACAACTTTGATTTTATCTTCACAGTTCCCACTCTTTTTCACTGACAAAATTTCAAAACTTTTCCATGACTTTTTCATGACCTAAAGTGAATTTTCCATGACTTTACGACACCTACACGTGTAGAATTGATCAGACTTTTAGGGCTAAATATGAAATGTTAAACCTTTCCACTCACCTTATGGTTTGGATTACAGTTTTTGAACATTCAAAATCCTGTCAGTGCATTTATTGTTGTCTTTTTTAAACAAAAGGCACAGACATTCAGAAATAATCATAATAGTCTAATGAAGTCATAGTGTTTGGTCCACAGAAACAAAGAGACAGTGTCAGCAGTCACCTCCAGTCTCTCTCTAGAACCTTCAAATCAGGCAAGAAATCTCAGGGTAATAATGGACTCAGACTTGAACTTTCAATAACATCTGCAGCCTTTTACCATCTAAAAAACAGACTTGGAGAGACTTATCCATGCGTTTGTCTCCAGTAGGTTAGATACTGTAATGTTCTGCTCACTGGTCTCTCCAAACGAGCTGTGAGACGCTGCAGAACATCCAGAACATCCAGAACGCTGCAGCTCGGGTCCTGACTCGAACTAGGAAGTACGAGCACATAAGTCCTGTGCTCAGGTCTCTGCACTGGCTCCTGTGCCTCAGAGAATAGACTTTAAAACAGCTCTGTTTGTACAAGTCTCTCCATGGCCGAGCACCAAAGTACATCTGTGACATGTTAGTGACATATGAACCTTCTGCACTCTGATCTGAGGAGCTCAGGGACCGGCCTCCTGCTGGTGCCCAGAGTCAGAACTAAACACGAGGAGTCAGCATTTCAGGTTCACACAGCTAAAACCTGGAACAGTCTTCCAGAACATGTGAGACAGTCTCTACTTTGACTCTGACTCTCTCTTTTTTTTTTTTTTTATCTTTAATTTTATTTTTTATTTATGTTTTGATTTGTTTTTATTGTGATTTTAATGTATTTCTTATTCTGTAAAGCACTTTGAATAACTTTGTGTACAAATTGTGCATTAAACTTGCCTTGTCTTGCCTAATGAGAACTTATCAGAATGCTGTAGTTGCATGAAAGAGAAACTAAAATTCTTTTCCAAAACTTCCATTGAATTTACAACATTTTATAACTTTTCCAGGCCCAGAAAATGACAATTTCAATTTCCATGACTTTTGCAGGATTTCCCTGACTGTGGGAACCCAGTATCTTCATTCCAATGTCAATTATATTACAATTGCACTAAATGTATGTTGTGTGCTTACTTAACAAAACCATAATATAACAAATAGTATGAACAAACAATGTAGTGAGATGCCTTTGAAAAAGGTCCCTCCTTGTGTTTGTCCTGGTTTGACCTTTCCACCGATGTCACGCATCAGGAAGTAAAAGCCGGTGCGGGCCATAGCTGCTAGCAACAGGATCACCGCAGTCATGGCACTTAGGTGCTCTAAATGTCACCGTACTTAGGCGTAAAGCCCAAAGAAGTGCTGCGGTCATCGCGGAACCTTTGCTGTGGGTGTTTTTGGAGCGGCCGAGGCGTGCTAACTCGTGTAATCGAATCAGGACTCGGACTGCTGAGCCTGCCCTGTTTGTTTGCACCTGTAATCACCACGTCTGTCTCCTACCGCCTGTGTGCACTTGTGGTACTTTTGACGGAAATGGACTGAAATGGGCTGTATGGAAATGTGTTTCCTATTAATACATTGTCAGGAATATATTTAATACAACCTCATCAATGTCTCAGTGTCAATTTAACTTAAAAAAACTGCTCTTATATTGGATAGGCTATTTATACTAACCCCCACCTCCATTTGGTCACACAGGCTACGTTAAGGGATTAAAGCTCAATTTGTATTTTTTGTGAAATCTGATTTTTTTGTGAGGTCGTTCACATTCCCAATCAAATGTGACTTGTCTGTCGTACTGGAGCCAGAACATGTACACCTTATTTTTTTAAGTTTTAAGGAGGAGATTGAGAAGGATAAAGTTTTTGGCCATGGCTTTTCATGGGGCAGTAGCAGCAACGTCTGTAGAAACGAACGTGTGGGTGCAGAGTCGTAGCCAAGAGTGATGGGATTGAGATGTGCTTCGCTGCTTCACTTACACGGAGTTCAGACACAGTTTTCATATGGCGAGAAGAATGTCTGTGTACATTTGTGAGCGCCTACATGTACCACTCTGGCGGGAGGAAACACGTCTTCACTGACCTATTTCATTGACCAAATGCGTTGGCGTTGGGCTGTATTGGCTCGCAGCAGGTGCTTGTTACCATGTTGTTATGACGTGTAGGTGGGATGAATGTGACCTTTCAGACTAAAGTCGCATGTCAAAAGATCAGATATGTATGGGTTTTAGGAGCACATATCCAAGTGGCCTGGGTCGCATTTGAAAAAATCAGATCTGTGTCATCATTTAAAATCTGATTTTGGTAACTTCAGGCTGCAGTCTGAACACAGCCATAAATAAATGCAAAAACAAGTTTTTTTGAAACTCTATACTATACATAACATATAAGAAAATTGGAGCTACTATTTGGCAGCTTTAATCTATCAATACTTCCAAGGGATCGAACACAAACAACTGTACTCACATGTGACTTTGAGCACTGCAGAGTCCCTCACTCCGTTGGCTATGAAGGTGATCTCTGCCCCGTCCTCCATCGCCTGTGTCTCCTGGATGACCAGCGTGTGGTGAGCCTGAGACTGCTGGATGAAGTAGCGTCCACCATTTTGGAGCTGAGAACTGTTCAGGAACCACGTCCCGACCATGGAGGAGGACAGCTCTATGGAGAAGCGAGCCTCCTCTCCCTCCACCACCTCACAGGCCTGAAGAGGGCTGTGGATCTTTGGACCGGGAACTAGAAGAAAAGTCAAATTGAGAGAGTGAAAAGATGAAATCAATGTTATTGAAGACACAACCATTTCACAGTTTTGAATGGAAGAATCAAATCCACTCCAGTCCACTTTTCTAAAGCCAGGAGGGTGTAAGTGCATGTAACTGCTATTGGTTTTTGCCAGCTAATGTTGGGGCAGGGCAGACACCGCAGATTGTGCACGGATATCGGAGCAGTCAACACCATATTGTTTCGCTCTGTTGGTTCATATTGTTTTTTTCTATGGCTTTTCATAGACTTTAATGAGAAGACAGCTCAAATTAAAATAATTATTGGAGAAGCTGATGGATGTTTCACTAGCAACTATAACCAATATGGTGGCAGGTGGCAAAAATGATTCATGGATTTTTGCTTCTTCTGAGGATTTTGCATTGAAAATAAATTATATTTTATTTTAAATTATGAATCTCTATAACAACGGTTCTAGAAAATCATAATAAAAAATTGTATTCCTCTCATAAATTCATCTGCTCCTCAGGGCTGTGTGCTGTCGTCCTAGTTCTACATTAGTTCTACATTATGTACAGCTGACTACAGAGCCTCCTCTCTGTGAATATTTACTGGAGATACAGTCCTTCTTTTTCTGATCATGGCCCAGTCAACATCATGATAAAAACATGCAGAAGTTCATACAGTCATAGGACCACTGTATCCAAGTAAATGTGTTATAGACTAAAAGAGAGGTGACTTTCTCCAACACGTCTTCTAAATAAAACCTGTCTGCCGAGCACAGCTAAACTGTGTGTGAAAATAATTGGACTTCCTGTCAGATCTCTCTCCCTGTGTGAGCAACAGATGCCGAGGAGCAGGTGCACTGTACGACCTGCCAGCTCTCTCCAAGTGTAACACACAGACCTCTCCTAACTATCTCTTCCACCTCCGGGGTTGATAAAATGCTTTATTTACTTTACTTTGAGGCAGACAGCGTGCAGCACTCAGATGTTGTTGCAAAGTGCAAAGAAATGTCGAAAAAGTTTTATGCACTCTATTGTAAAAAAAAGGTACCCTTGACCTTAAAGGGCCCATATTACTGATTTATTATATATTACTATTCTGAGCTATGTTATAATGTTCTTTCCTCATCACAAACCTGCTCTAGTTGTGTTTAACACACAAATCCTGCAAATTTAGGTTGAGTCAGTTTTACGTAATATGGACCCTTTAATTCTAGTCTGATTCATCAGCCAGTTTCACTTCGTAGAAACTGTCTGACCTCGCAGTGCTCAACAGTAGGCAAGTACTTTTTTTCATTTAACCAATGGCTGCTATTTAGTTGTGACGTATGTAATGCGCCGCTAACGAGGCTAACTGGTATATTAAGCTTTTCCCAAATCGTAGGAAGAAGGACAATAATGTCTTTCCCCTTGATAAAATTCACTAAACATTCTCTTTCTTCTGGCTTTAAATCCTCGATCTTGGGAATCGTTGCCAACACAGAATGTATGGCTCTTCACTGATTGGCTGGTGCCTGAACTCACACTCCTGGGGTTTTTGCAAATCGTCTAGTGTATTCTGATTCTTGATCTAGTTGCTGGAGAGAAATAGAATTGAGTGGAGGCACTAGGTGGCACCAGCCTGGCTACTTTAATTCCGCTTGTTTCCATAACTTACCCAGATGAACCGTTTTGGGGAACTCCACGTGCCCGCTGCGCCCGTACTTGTTGATGCAGCACACTCTGAAGCGGTAGTCCCCCTCCCCTGGCACGCTGTCCCCGGACACTTCGGCGGAGGTGGCGGTCTCCGAGCTGAAACACTTCTGCCACTCCTGGGAGCCCACCTCCTGCCTCTCCACCACAAACATGGAGCGAGTGGTGGTCTGGCTGTTGGGGGACGGGGACCAGCTGAGCAGAGCGCTGTTGGGTCGGTCGTCGTCCATTTTGATGTTGATTGGGCAGATGGGCGGGAGGTGTCGTGTAGCTACAGGAAAGCAAAGATTTTATTGAGAAATTGTGGTTGACTGTAAGGAGCTGACTGTAAAAAGGATTTGACTAGGGCGTGAGAGAGATTGCTAAATTACTCAAACTTTATAACTTGGTAGAGAGCTAAAAAAAATTCTATTCCACAGAACAACCCCTCTTTAATTGTTGCAGTATATAGAAATGTAATAAAGGTATTGATTGTTTTTATTGTCATTTTCCAGACGTACCTTTAACCTTGAGTCTGGATGTTGTGGTGGACCTCCCTGCCACAAAGGTCACGACCCCAGAGTCCTGGTAGGCCACGTTGACGAAGACGAGGATGTGTGTCTTGCCGAAGGACTTGAGGATGGTCTGGTGGGTCTCGTGTTGTTTGATTCCGTCTTTGAACCAGTGGACCTCCATGTCGTCCTGGTCCACCTCCACACAGAAGGCCGCATTCTCCCCCTCCAGGACCTCCAGCTTACGGGGCAGTTTACGCACGATGGGGCCTGGATGGAACAAAGGGTTACAAAGAAAAAAAACAGCTAAAGAATGACGGGGGTTGTGAGCATTTACCAGGGAGTACTTGCAATGATTTCAGATTTAGAAAGAGGTAATAGAAATATTTAATAGAATTTGATTATAAAATATGCTTTGTAGGACAATTTACGTCCCTGAGATTTTTTGTAGCAAATTTTGGACATTAAAACAAGAATGTAAAATTGTGGATTTTTTATTTTTTTTTTAACTAGAAAACAGATTCATCCTTACGCCTGTGTATACTTTGAATGATGTCAATCAGATTTAAATATAAATCAGCATAATACTGAATAGCATTTGAATATAAAAGTTTTCAGGACACCTTCCTTGATAATTTTATTGTAGGATATTTTGGACATTAAAAACAAGTGCACAGTAAAATTGTAAAAAAAAAAAAAAAAAAAGATAATTTACTAGAAAACAGATAGTTTATTCAAGTTAGGGGCACTTCATTAATCACAAATTACAGTTTGGGGAATAGTGTTCTTCATGACATCATGACTGTGGGAATGATAGTGGTTAGGGGTGAAAAAAATATTGAAATATCAATATATATCGTATCGTTTAATGTGGTGATACAGTATCGATATCGGGGGCTGCTGTATCGATATCGCCAAGAGTATTTGGTTTATTTTACAAAATTATTTTGTTACAGCTACAGTTTTGTTGCTTATTTAGACGAAGGAAACACGTTTATGCAACACATTTGACATTTCCATTTTTTTGATGATTAAAATGTTTGTATTTCATATTCACTTTGCACAAGAAGTGGTTTAAAAAAGATTCAGTGTAAGAGTCATGATTTAGCCTTTATTTTTATTGAACAGTATCGAATCAATTGAAATCTATCACACTGAATCGTACTGAATCGTAAGCTCACTGTACGAGATAGGTATCGTATTGTGGCCTGTGTATCGAGGTATTTCATCTTCTGAATGATCCCCAGCCCTAGTAGTGGTGTTCGTAAGGTTACAGTCATGAACTCATGATGAAGTCATTCATGAATCATGATGAACTAATGCTTTATCTCATGTACCATTATTAAGTGTTACATTAATGGTAGTGAGGTAAACATCAAATACACTGCAAATCATTTTGTTGTATTCAGAATTTATCTTGAGTTTATACATTTGAACTTTTTGTTTTTGTGCTTGTTTTGTGCGAATGTTTCCGTGCATTTCTGCTGATTGCCTGTGTAATGCCTCAGTCGTCCAAGATCCACACCAAACGGACGTTGAATTTTATCAGATGGACAAAACTTTTATGCAAACACTGCAAGAACTAAAACTAATCCTGGAAATTAGGACTAGACCAGGACTAAACCAAGACAAGAAGAGGACCACCAAACTAGGTCTACTTCAGGACCAAACTGAACTCAAACCAGGGGCAAACAAGTGCGAGTATGAACACACCCAGAGTGAATTTTTCCAATCTTCCCAAGTAGCTTCAGAACTGGGCCAAAATGTATACACAAAATTCAACCTTGCAAAACTTTAGGGAGCAGGAGTGCTACTTGGATGTACAGAGATTGTGAGCTGAGGTTCAAGTACATTTTAACTTTATCTGCCATGTGGTATTAAAGGCTTCTTTTGCTATTATTATAATATCTTGAAATTATAGTCTAAAATTATGATCATTTCTTAAGTTACAACTCATTATTTTATCTTTTCCTTTGCAACACTTTTACATATTTTACTATTTTGATCAGACAAAAGCAGTGCGTACCTTTGACTGACAGTTCGGCGATGCTCTTGGCTCCATCAGGCATCTCACACAGGTACACCCCGTCGTCGTCCATGCCCACGTCCCGGATGGTGAGGCGCCTCCTGGTGCCCTTCTGCTCCATGCCGTACTTCTGGTTGGGCATGAGCCTCTGGTCCTCCAAGTACCAGGCGGCGGGCAGGGTCTCATCAGGCATCTCACACTCCAGCACAGCCACATCGTTCTCAGACACCTCCACGTCCTTGAGCTGCTTCCTGAACCGCACCGAAGGGCCTAACAACAGAAAAGCAAGAATTTCATATCAGGGCACTCAGTTCTCACTCATGCGATGCATTTCACAAACAGCATTCAGTCTCGGGGTGATAGTGTGATCAGCAACTTATTTTATTTGTAGAATGACCTTGGGGCTGCAGTGGTTGTGCATGAGTGTTGGACAAGTTCTAATGTGGATGTGCTCACCTCAGTTAGCAGAAACTGAATCCCATGATCGGCCATGGACTTTTTGTGCATGTAGTTAATATGTATATTATTTGCAACACGTCACTACACAATATTACATTATGTTAGATTGTCACATAATTATGATATAAGGAATGTAAAATATATTATTTAAATTGAGGTGAACTGAAAAATGTATAAATTATGTTTTGTTTTATTAGGTGTAACTTTACTCTAACCTAGTTTCTGCTAGTTCTGCACTATCACTCTGGGATGGCTCTCACTGAAACTACTTTAGAAAAGAAAGAACTTTCAGTGGAATACTTTCGTCATTTAGTATATGTACAGTCTATACACCATATATATTTTTCCCCATCCACAATCACATTTCTTGCTAAATCTGGTGTGACATCCCACATCCCAGTACAGGTTCATTGTAGAAGCAGCACTTAGAGTAGAAATTAGACCACTGTGTGTTGTCAGCATCCAATTATAAAGCATTTTATTTTTTGTTGATTATCAGAAAGTGTGCTTGTAGCATGCTAGTTGTTGTGAGTTTAACCTTGATGAAAAAAAATCCACCCTGGCACCTGAATGTGGTAAAAAGGAATAACTAGACCACTGCAAAATGAACTAGTTTGAAGTCAGTAAAAAACAAGGGCGAAGGTTTGCATTGGGACGGTGGGGACATGTCACAACCTATATTTTGGAGGACAAAATAGTCCCTACCAATATTTGACATTTTATTTTAATAAACAAAATCAATAAAATGTCTGATATTTTTCCAAACTCAATAGTATAAATTTAACATGTTTTAATTCACATTTTGCTTGTTAAACGTTCTGAGATGTATTCAGTGATATGACGACAGGGTTACCCCTGCCACTAGTTCATTGGCTGTAACAGAGTGATGTCATTAGTGATGCCAGGAAGCTAAACTGGGGAAGCGGCAGAACAGTGAGGAAGATGTCGGCTTGAGCAGGCGTGAGTGAAGACGCTGCACCAAACTTTGAAAAACTTTTCAAAAGGAACTTACTTGGCTTCATCTTCAGTTAAACTTGACTTATAAATGAGTCGCCGCGGAAAAAGAGCGACTATTACCACAAGTGCAACTCCCAAAACGAAGCCCTACTCGTGTGCTGTTAGCAGCCCGACTCTACTGACAATATTCAATGGACATGACCTCACAAATATCTCCTCACCAACAAGCAAAGGGAAATCTGCTACAAACTTCTACATCGCTGTTATCCCATAAAACAACCTACAAGTAAGTACAAGTAATCTATTAGTTGGTTTCATGAGTTGATAATGTTCTCCACCAAAGCTGAGACCAAACCTACACCCTTGTTAAAAAATTAGGTACAGTCTTGAACAACTAACTTTCAGCTACAGTACAGTCATGAAATTTACCTTTGACAGACAGATGCACTGCACTCAGTGTATTCCCCAGTGCGTTGGAGGCGGCGCACACGTACAGCCCCGTGTCCTCTCTCTTACAGTACAGAACCTTCAGCGTGTAGTATCCCTCCCTGTCCTCAAACATCAGATGCCTTCTCCCTGGATCCAACGGAACTCCATCCTTCTTCCACACGATTTCCGGTTTGGGCTTCCCCGTCACCAGGCAACGGAACTTGGCGTGTTTCCCCTCTGCCACCGCGAACTTCTTCACTTTCGACGGATTGACCGGCGTTTCGTCTTTGTTCCGGAGTATGCCTAGCCTCCCACTTCGTAGCCTGGGTGAGTTTTGGCTGTTCGTGTGCCCGCTGGACGACCTCTTGCTGTCTTCTCTCTCCGGCACGGGTTCTACGAGTAAAACCGCGCCCGCCAACGCTTCGCCGTTACAGTTGACCGCCTTGCACGTGTACACCCCTTTGTCCGGGATTCTCGTTCGGTAGATCTTGAGTTGGAACCATCCGCCTTCTTGACTGCTCACGCTAAAATGGGAGTTTTCAAAGATATCTCCGAGCTTTTTACCATCTTTCTCCCACTCCACTTCTGGCAATGGAGAACCCCAGATCTTACACGAAAACGCTGCATCCTCTCCCCGGTCAACTCGTAGCGACAGTGGTTTGATAAGGAATCGTGGACGGTCAGAACTCAACTCATCGTCATCGTGTTTTTCCATCAACTTGTTCATCTTTTCCTCTCCGTTAACTAACCTTCCATTTTCATTCACGCAATTTCCGTTTTGTAATTTGCTATATCCGTTCACTTGTCTTGAATCTCCATTGACGACTGACTGTTGGACTTGCTGTTCTTCCACTTTTAAGGTAGCGGCTGCGTACGTTTCGCCCACATTGTTTTTGGCCTTGCATATGTACTGGCCTGCATCTTCTGGTGTTACTGAGCTTATAGTTAGAAGAAACGCTTTGCCGTCCTCCGATAGCTTGTAGCGGCCCTCGGAAAAGATCTGGATATTTTTGCGTTCCCAAATCACGTCCGGGCGAGGGTCTCCGCCGATTTGGCAGCGTAGTGTGGCGTCGCTTCCAAAAGGGGCCAGCACGGGACGCGGATACCCCAGTACACGCGGGGCACCTCCGAAAATATCCATGGTCGGTCTTCAACTTGTTCTGTATCTGTAAAGAAGAACACAGGCCCATAAACAAATCTTGTGGTGTGCCTATAAATTATATTGATAAGCTCTACACTAGCTATTTTTTTTGTACATATTTTATTTTGCATTCTTTGTTTATAAACTACTTGGTCAACTCGGCCTCAGTATTACACATTTTACTGTTTATTTTTTTTTTTTTTTTGTATTAGGGTTACATCACATTTATTGATATCACTTGGTGTTTGATATTAGTTCCAGGATGACAGGATTATTCTATTTCTCAGCTGTTTGTTGTGTTTGGTCCAGAAGTCTCTTTTGTTTGAACTTTTTATATACATTGGTAATCAATAATTACTTATCATTCTAAAAAAAACTGTTTTGAGATAAATTATTGTCATTTCATGCAACAAAATGATGTACTTGCATTGACACACAACTGAAGCTGGATCTTTGCATCTATTTGTTTAGAATTTATTTAGGCTACAAAAGTAATTAAGAATTTAACCCTGATTGCCATTGTTATCATAAGAGGAAAAATTGACTAGAGTAATGCAGTTTAAATATATCTATCAACAATAGCTAGCTATTAGCAAGACGTGCTAGTGAATGCTTGCGTCCAAATTGGGTTCCACCGCCTACACTGACATCCCTTCATTATGACATGTCTCTATTTAGATGTGCCGATATTACGACATGCCTCTATTTAAACGTGCCGGATTTACAACCCTTTTTAGAATCGCTATTCCAACATGAATCAGTGCAATAGGCCTATCTGACAACTATGTGACAAACAAATTACGCAAATTACGCAACATTTGTTCGAAAAAATGCACCGTTCAACAAGGGAGTGTCTGTGAATCTGTTTAAAGACCACTCTGCATTTTTACAACTGAGTCCATGCTGCTGTATTGTGGATAACAGGCCATTTTGGGTATGAGTGAGTATAATATGGTATCACATTAATATTATTCATGTCGGAAAAGCGGAATGTTATAGTGAAAATAGTGCCACTACTTCGACAATGAAAAAAAAAAAAAAAGTTGAAGTAGTGGGACTTCGCACTGTTTGAAAAATAATGTTTATGCCGCTACTCGGGCAATTACCATATTTTTGGACTATAAGGAGCACTTAACATCCTTTAATTTTCTCAAAAATCATCAGTGCACCTTATAATCCGGTGCGCCTTTACGAATAAATTCTGGTTGAGCTACTGACCTTTAACTGATTTTCTGTGGTACACGGCGCTAAAAAATCTGTGAAAATGTTTTAGTGCGACTTTGGTAAACTATGAAGTTGCACCACTTGATGGATTGTTGGAGAATTATGGCTACCATAGTTAGGAGCCTCAAGGAGTAAGTCGTGTCCTTTAGTCCAACAGAAGCTGACAGCATCAGTGCACAAGGAGCGAGCTGTTTTTTCAGAGCTTATAATTTATGCAAATGAGCCATGTGCTTTTAAGTTTAATTTCTGTAAAACGTAAACAAATGTGCGCAAATCTGCATTAAACACATTATTATTCAATGTATATTTGAGTCGTCCTCATAGGAAATAAACCAAACTTAAATGATTCAACCACATTCCTATTCATAATTCACATTCACCAAGACAGGGAGGCAACGGCGGGCGAATTACGTCACGATCTGCCAATGGATCGTGGACGTCTGGGCTAAGGGATCAGTCTCAATTGTCGTCTGTTTGTTTCACTTAATGCACCTTATAATCCAGTGCACCTTTTTTTGAAAATACACGAGATAATTCAACATTATTGATATTGCGCTTTATAATCCGGTGCGCCTTATAATTCAAAAAATATGGTACACGCCAATGTCTAAATAGCGGAATGTCGGAATAGCAGCATGTAACCGTAAATTAGTCCAATAGAGGTGTATAAAAAATAACCACCCCATGACATCAGCAGGTGGAACAGCTCAGTTTGAGATCCTAAATCTTACTTTAGTTTGAGAAAGTATCAAACAAAACACTGTAAGTTTTAGAAAATATTAGCATAATATTGGATCTTTAGTGATTCCTATACATTGTTTGGTTACTTCCTGGTTGATTGTAGCGGTTAGCCCAGACGAGCATGTTTAGCTGCTTTTGGGGCTCACCCTCTTTACAGCTGGCCCTGGACGTCACTGAAGAAGGTATTTATAAATCCACTGTCCTAAAAATGACTGCCCCATATGTCAGACTAACTGCAAAATCTTCCACCTGAAGCCACCACACTCACCATTCAAACTTGAGAACCAATCTTGGAGGTCAATGTCAAGTAAATACCACTTTGAAAATCCTTTTTATTTCGTAGTATAATTTGTTTTGTACTTTAGTTTGTGATGATGAGGCACCGTGTTGTGTTTGGCTTGCTACAAATATTGCCTAACCTCATGGATCATATGGTTTGAAAGTAATGCAAGCTTAAGGTGACCGGATTTTCAAAATAACAAACTGGGACACACCGGGTTGGAATGGTTGGTAAATAAAACTGAAAATAGTGCAACATTGTCCATTCTCGACTCAAATGTACTGTAGGTCAGTCATAATCTAAGGGACTTTCAAGCAGGTTTTTCTCTATTTTGGATAAACAAATGACAATATATTCCCCACTTTACTGTTTGTGAGTTTCAGATTGGTCCAAAACAGGGGCACGTGGGACATTTCTTGTATAAAACTGGGACAAATCACTGGTTTTGGATAAATATGCTGGTCTGGGACAGAGGTCACAGGGCTCAAAACTGGGACTGTCCCAGGTAATTGGGGACGTCTGGTCACACTATGCTGGCTTTAATTACGCAACAAAAAAATAATATCTTAAAAACATATTATATTACGTAGGCTGAGAATCAAAAGGCATAAAAACATGTTTTGAACTCAACTGTTTGTCCACAGTTATGTCTTAACATACCTAAAGAATTGTTTACCCTTCACTTTCATAATGCATACTTCCTGCATACATGTTTACATATGTTAATAACTTCACTTACATCATTTTGACATTAGCTTTTCAAGTCAATTCTCGAGCAGTAATACAGCCTTACACCTTTTTAGCATTGCATAGTGTTGTGTTAAGAGGTTGGGTTTTATTTTTGATTTATCAACTAAGTGCTTTGTCTTATTTTGAATGGTAAACTTGGAGAATTTGGCAATGAGTAAAGGCAGTACTACTTTATAATAACTACATGTTAATTAGTCTTAATAAAGCATTAAGACTTCATTCAAAATGACAAATAGTTAATTAAGACCATAACTATTACTAAGGGTTAGTCAGTTCAGCAGTATATAGTAAGGCTGAATCATTCTTTAAAGAGTATTTGTTTATTATGAATTAAGTCATGCTTTATTAAAGGTACAGTATGTAACTTTCTGGAGGCATGGTAGAACCATACTCCATTTAGAAACTTTCTCCATCATGATATGACAGCATTTCTATGGAGACAAGCGTGGAGAAGAGGCTCACCGAGGCCAAACACGAGTCAGGTTTGTGGGGATGCAAGGTCATAAGTTGTAAAATGTAAAAACTCTTTTACTACTGAAATAGACTTTTACTAAGTCTGTTTTAGGCTATAAAGTTACACATTGTGGCTTTAAGTCTATTTAAAGTGTAACTATAATAAAACATACATCTGAACATTCCACTCCATGGAAATAGATTAGTATTATTATTATTAGTAGTATTAGTATTAGTAGTAGATTGGCTGTATTATTCCATTCTGTGGAATAATACAAAGGAACAACATTGCCACTGAAACAAGCCAGAGAGGCCCTCTTTCAGGCCAAATTAGGGTCAAGTTTGTGGAGATGCAAACCCACACATAGTAAAGACATGTGTTTTTTATCAACATTATTAAAAACACGTTTTTATTTTAGTCTATATTTTGGCAAAAAATGTTACATACTGTGGTTTTTAGGCTAATTAAAATGCATTTATTATAAAGTGTTACGCACGCCATCAAAAATACCACATACCTTGTTTTGCGTGGCAGCTAACTCCCCCTCTGGACCTGACAGACTTGAGTAATATTGAAGCTGGCAGTTACTCGAATGCAGATGTCTTTCCCAAAATACTCTTGACCTGTATCCGTCTGTTTAGAGATCGTCACAAAGCTCCCATCCACTTCCTCAACCTTCAACCTTTCCTTTTCGTTTTGTAATATCCTCAACTTGAACCAGCCCTTTATTTCTTAACAAAGTCGCGCATACATCCATGGAAAAAAAACTCCTATCTTCACTGGGGTTCCTTGATTGCGATGTCGCGTGGCAGAGAGGAAAACATGTACAAACGGCTATCGTCTTGGTTCTGTCATTGTCTGTGGAGAGAGAGAGAGTTGGAATGGCTGGAGTAGGGGTAGGCAGAGAGAGAACTGGGGGGGTATAAAATGCTTTGACAGTTGCTCCTGCCCCAAGCCCCCCTCACCTCCTCTAAAAATAGCCCCGGCTTCCATGGCAGTGGCACTGATAAAGTTAGGCTCTCCATTCAGGACTATGGACGGCTAAAGATAGGGTTTGTGAGAGAAGGAGGGGGACAGGGTCTATGGCGGACAGCTTAAGCTTAAGAGATAGACTCAGTTAAACCTCTGCACAGAAAGGCGGCAGCTGGGAACCCAATGGCGTGACTCATGTTGGACTATCAAACCGAAAATAAAACATGGTAATTCTCCAGCTAGGTACTCTTGACCGTGAACCTCGCTTCAAGGGACTGCGTACGTATCTTGTGTGCTTACTGGTCTAAAAACGGTACTACAATGACACCAGGACCTTAAAGAGGGGATGTTACACTTCTCCGGGGTATTAATTGCTAACAAATAACGCATAATCTAAGTCACTCCCCCTTCAGAGCACTATCACAACACAATCCTGCATCCCACTAATGAAAAAAACTGCACATCGCTTTACAGGTTTGTGATATATCCGCATCGTTTAATGTGATGATACAGTATCGATATCATGGGCTGCTGCGTCGATATATCGCCAAGAGTATATTTTGGTTTATTTTACTCAATTATTTTGTTACAGAGCTACAGTTTTGTTGCTTGTTCAAGGGGAGGAAACTCGTTTATGTGACACATTTGACATTTTCACTGTTTTGATGATTAAAATGTTTGTGTTTCATATGAACTTTGAACAAGAAGTGGTTTAACAAAGACTTTTAGTGTCACAACCATGATTAAGCCTTTATTTTTTATCAAACCATATCGAATCAAATGGAAATATATTGCACTGAATCGTATAGAATCGTCACTATATTGAGATATGTATCTTATCGTGGCCTAAGTATCAAGGTGCACTACCGGTCAAAAGTTTTAGAACACCACACTTTTTCCAGTTTTTTACTGTTTACTATTGACCAAAACTAAACTTTTGATTGATGTGTGTGTCCACCTTTGGCAGATATAACAGTTGAACACACTTGTGGCTCTTTTTTTACAATAGAAATCAAATCTTCTTCAGAAAGTTCTTCCCAAGTCTGTTACAGAAGTTTCCATAAATGTGTGGCACTTGTAGGTTGCTTCACTCTTCTGTCCAGTTCATCCCAAACCAGCTCCATGGGGTTTAAGTCTGCACACTGTGCTGCTGCTGGACACTCCAGGTTTTCAAGCTCAACATTTTGTTATTTTTTCCTGAGGTAGTTTTGGTGTTTTTTTGTCTTTTTTTTTTTTTTTTTTTACCTCTGTCTGTTCAGTTCTTGCCTTTGTACCATTCCAAGCTCTTCATTAGACTTGCACGACTTGAACTGCAATAATTAACTGGAGAAATTAGGGTGTTCTAAAACTATTGACCGATAGTGTATGTATCGTATCAGCAACTTCGGAATGATACCCAGCCCTATTTATGAAGTTGTAGTGTATTGTTTTGTGTCCTGCTTTTGTAGATTTGGCTTGTAGGCGGAGCAATGGACAGAATCTAAAACCTCTTCAGGCATGTTTTTGATGACGGAACAAACATGAAAATTGAGGACACACATTTGTCTCATTCTCAGTTTATGGACAGACCATGCCTCATGTGAAAGCTCAGAACCTCCAGAATTCCCTCCCTGAGCTGCAGAGGCTGCACTAGCACTGACTCATGACTGGTTGCAGATGTTGGGGTTTGGGTAGTGATCATTCAGTCAGACAGAGAGGCATGTGAGAGAGGCATCATTTTGCCTTCTGATTGGATAATCAACTTGAGAACCAAAACACCAAACAATTTCGCCATCATGTTTATGTAACCAAGAATGAATCAGCATTACAATTGTTATCAGTAAAAGATTTATTTGATTTAAACAGGTTTAAAGTTAGGTCTGTGGAATTTAACATCAAAATCTTACATACACTTCCTTTAAGTTTACCAAATAAATATTAAAATGTACTTTTCACTCTTACTTTTACTAATTGGCCAATTCAGGTCACTACCTCAGGAGTTTTACCTGTAACCAGAAGTGGGAAGTGTAGCAAAAAACTGTACTTTAATAAGAGAAACATTACTTAAAATAGTGGTACAAGATATTACTGAAGTAAAAGTAAAAAAGTATTTGGGGGACTAGAGCTACTTCTTAAGTAAGAGTAACTTAAAGAGCAAATGTGTGCACATAACATTTGATTTATAATTTAAAGTTAATGTATCTTGAAGAACAAAATATAAAATAATGCTCAAAATCTGGTGTTTTCTAACGACAGACACAAAAACGAGACAAACTAAATCATATTTGAAGGAGCGGTGCAAGAAACACAAATGTTCAAATCATTTCATATTGTCGACATAAAGCTTTTGTCACTTGGAGACTCACAATGGGAAGATAAATAAAAATATTACTGAAGTAGGAATAAAAATATGCTCCAAGTACAATTTTACATTTTTGCTGTATGCTGATCTCTACCTCTACTACTTCAAACTGTCATGGATAGATAATGTTCTTGTAACAATTTTATAAGACCAAGAAAGATGAACACGACTAGCCTGACTCAGTGGGACCATAGCTATGTGCTGCTATCACCGATGACCACAGTGAGTCTAGCGTCGCGTTCGCTGCCTGTGGCGTGAGCACTTGAGTGTGAGAGGGACTTTATCGTCTGAGAATGCACCAGTGTGTCACCACCGGATCCAGACCTGTGCTGGTCCATCCACGCCTATCTCTGAGTGCAGATAACAACAGAACAGCCAAGCATAGCCTAACGCATGGCCTAACATCATAAAGCAGACCTATTCTACAAAATTTAACTTTTTAGAGCTTTTAATCACGTTATAGTTGTTTCCTCTCTCATTTACCTCTGAAGTTGTATTTGGAGTGATTTGTGCATGTTTGAACAATCTTTAAACATTTATTTTCATATTTCTTCATCAAAAACATGCATGAAGAGGTTTTAGATGTCGTCCATGCATGTTTGAGTAATTTAGTGATCTAACTTAAGCCCATTTGAGCTGTCCTTACAGTTAGTGCTAAGATTCTGTCCAATGCTCTGTTCACAAGCCTACGTCACCCATGTCCCCACATAACAATTCACCATAAATATACAAAAACATGACACAAAACAACACATTACAACTCCACAAACCTGATGCGATGTGCAGTGGTTTGATAAACGGGATGCACGCTGATTGTGTCGGGATAGTGCTCTGAAGGGGGAGTGACTTAACGGGGAGAACAAAGGGAAGGGAGACCCCGATCATCAATGAAACTAGTAAAACATGCTAATATGTAGTTTTTGACAAATATAGCATTTTCAAAATGATAAAAGTTAACAGTGATCTAATGATCTAGTGTTATGAGTTAGGAGTTAATACCCCATAGAAGTGAAATACCCGTTATATCAGGTGCTTTTAACAATGAGAGGCTGTATCCCCATAGGGCAGACCTGGGCATTGTCCTGCTCCCAGGCCACATACGGCCCTTTGGTCGACTCTGACCAGCCCATTTAAACTCATTTGGAATTACAAAATAAACATATTTTATCATTTTAACCTCATGCATGGACTAAAGCTGTTTTGCTTTTATTTAGGTATTTAGGTTTAGGTTTAGAGGTTTTCAATTATATTTTTTTAAGGCAGCCAGTCTTACAGTCTGACCAGCACATCAAAACAATGCTATTTACGGCTTTTTAATAAAGAAATACAATTCATATTACACAGAATTGAGTTAGTTTTGGCCCGGCCTTCCACAATATTTTCTGTTTCTCATGTGGCCCTATGGAAAAAAATAATTGCCCACCCCTGCCATAGAGTGTTCCTACATCGTTAACTTAGTCACAGTTGTATATTTATACAGCTTTCATGGTCAAAAGATATTAAAAGCTTTAAAATAATGTTTTTGTATCAAAAAGGGTAAAAGTAGTTCATTTTGTCTGGATTTCTGAACATACACAAAACACACATTTGTCAGCAGACAACATCACTTATTTACCTTCTGCTAATGTACTGCAGAGTGGAACAGGTCAAATGAGGCTTACAACATAGCTTCAGATCAGGGTTCCTCTTATCAAAGGAAGCTGGAGTCTGATGGTTTGTGGAATTTGAACAAACAGGAGCAGGTTCTGGATTAGACCACCACCTCATGACATCACAAGTGCTTTCATCTCTGGAGAGGGAGAGAAAATATGTGAGAAAGAAACAAACAAGTTTCTAATGAGGTAAACACATTAATAATAGTATTTTTTCATATTGTTATTGTAGTGTACTATTATGTCGGCTATGTTAATGCATGTGGAGACGTGACATATGCCCCCATAAGCTCCGTGGTATGTACAGTTATAATAGGAGCGCACATTAAAGGTCAGTTATGGTAAACAGAAGAGCACAGAACATGAGAAATCTTCTGTAGAAATGGAGAAAGTCTACATGCTTTTCAGGGCATTTTGGGGCAATAAAAAACACTTGTAACTGAATACAGGCTAGATTGAGAAGAAGTTTAATGCGATACTGTGGAACATTACTGACCACATCACGGTCCTCTGGTGACTCTACCATGTTGGAAGCCACGTGTGCGTCTCCTCATCGTCAGCTGTTCAGGGGGAATCAAACGCATCAGATTAGATTTCACTATTCACAAAGACCACGGGCTGCTTCACAGAACTCCCGTAAAAACAGCGCCGCTATTGTTAGGCTGCAGTTTGATATACGGGGGAAGGTTTAACTGTGTCATTCAGCAATACACTGTAGGCATTTCAGATGACTATTGTTCAGATTATTATAGGAGACTTTTGTGTACATATATAGACTCATGGATTGTACATACGCGATACTATTAGATTACTTTATTTTTAGCTTTCTACCATGTTATAATTCATTTAGATGTCGTCCATGTGTGTTTGAATAATTTAGCAATCTCTCTCATGGACAATTTGACCTCTATTTACTATTAGCTGTAAGATTCTGTGCAAAGCTCCGCCCACAAGCCTACGTCATTCATGCTCCCAAACGACAATTCTCCATAAATCTACAAAAACACGATACAAAACTGTACGCTACAACTTCACAAACCTGATGCGATGTGCAATAGTTTTATTAATGGGATGCAGGATGATTGTGTTGTGACAGCGCTCTGAAGGGGGAGTGACTTAAAGCTGAGAGTAAAGACAAAAACGAAAGTGAAACTCATAAAACATGTCAATGCATTTTTGTTTTTTTCTGTGAATTTACCATTTTCAAAACAAAAAAAGAGTAACACTGTGATCTAAATATGTTATGTCCTAGCAGTTAATACTCCATAAAAGTAAAATATCGTCTCTCGAAGTAAAGGTTTAAAAAAAAAAAAAAAGTACAGTCAAAAGTATAACTGCACTTTTTCAAAAAATCTGTACTTCATAGCAGTGGCCAGTAGATGGGGCTGGTGGACCATCTTAAAACATACAGGTAACGCTATAACACAGTATTTCATATAATATTATATCGCATTTTACAAAATAAATGTTGAATGTTGTGCTTAGAAGAAGACAATTATATTTTTTTATTGAAAATTAAGTAAAAAAAATGTTTGTGTTGTTATAAAGTTATGCCTCACTTAACTTATGCAATCTGAGCATCCTGTTTATTCACCACCATGAGTTTATAAGAGCTTTTCACAACTTTTAGAGACCAGAGAGGAGATTTGCTGTCAGAAAAAAAAAGTATAAAAATCAGAATATAATAACACAGAACAGAACAGAATAATAAAATGTTTATATTAAATGCAGACAGTGCACAGTGGACTTATTTTGACCTCAAGAGGTGCTCATACAATATATCTGTACTGTAAGATAAATTAGTTCAGATACGTGGGGGAAATGGTGTTCAGGTCTGTGAGTGTGTGGTGCACAGCTGCATGCTGGGAAAAACAACGACTCTGGGAAAGACAGAAGGAGGCTCCTGTCAAATATAAACAGCATCTGTGAGAAGTGAGATTCAACCGTGCAAATGTTTTTACTGACACCATGAACATTTACAAATCAGCCAAACCCAAAACCTGTGTGCTGCTTCAGGTAGTTTAACCAAGGTACTAAACCAGGACTAAACCGGGACTAAACCGGGACTAAACCGGGACTAAACCGGGACTAAAACAGGACTAAAACAGGACTAAATAAGGTCTAACCCACAACTAAACCAGGTCTAACCTAAGAATAAACCAGGTCTGACCTTGGACCAAACAAGGCCTAAACCAGGTCTAACCCAGGACTGAATAATGTCTAATTTAGGTCCAAATTAGGTCTAATCCAGGACTAATCCACATCTAAACTAGGACTAAACCAGGTCTAACCTCAGATTAAACTAGAACTAAATCAGGACAAACGCAGGACAAAACCAGGTTTTACTCTGGACCAAACCAGGACTAAACCAGGTCTAACCTTGAACTAAACCAGAACTAAATCAGGACAAACCCAGGAGTAAATCAGGTCTAACCCAGGACTATAATACAGTGGGTCTAACTCAGGACTGAATAATGTCTAATTTAGGTCTAAACTAGGTCTAATAAAGAACTAAACCAGGTTTTACCCAGGACTAAACCAGGACTAAACCAGAACTACATCAGGACAAACCCAGGACTAAACCAGGTCTAATCCAGGACTAAATCAGGTCTAACCCAGGAATATAATACAGTGGGTCTAATTTAGGACTGAATAATATCTAATTTAGGTCTAATCTAGGTCTAATAAAGAACTAAACCAGGTTTTACCCAGGACTAAACCAGGACTAAACCAGGACTAAACCAGGTCTAACCTCGGACTAAACCAGAACTAAATCAGGACAAACCCAGGACTAAACCAGGTCTAATCCAGGACTAAATCATGTCTAACCCAGGACTATAATACAGTGTTTCTAATTTAGGACTGAATAATGTCTAATTTAGGTCTAAACTAGGTCTAATAAAGAACTAATCCAGGTTTTACCCAGGACTAAACCAAGACTAAACCAGGTTTAATCCAGGACTAACCCACAGCTAACCCAGGTCTAGCCTTGGACTAAACCAGGACTAAACCAGGACTAACCCAGGACAAACCCAGGACTAAACCAGCAGGAGTTGTCAGACGCCCCGCCTCTCAGCCTTTGTAATATTTATGTGTAAACTCTGAGCAGTATTTTCCATTTATGTCACGTGTACTGTTTGTCCATCTCATGTTTAACCTTGACGCTGGCTCTTCTGTGACCTCACCATCTGGACGTAGAGCTGAATGAATATTATATTGTGCTTTATGATCACGAGCTGCTGGGCTGTGGCGTGAAGATGACTCCCTGATGTGGGCGCATTCTACACACGGCAGATAGAGGGCAGAAGAGCACCAGCTTTACCACATTGTACATTCAACTCATTCAACATTTTCTTACATCATTATCCAGTGTTGGGGGAAGTGCATTTATAGTATGTACTCAAGAAACTACATTTATAGCATGTCAATTTTACTGCCTGAGTAATATTTGTATTGAAGAAACAGTTCTCTTTATGTCATTTCACTTTTACGTGTTTTCACTTTTACAAGTCAAGCCGTTTTGTGTGTACAAAGAAATACACTTAAAATATTCCCCTTAAGTAACTTTTTTTTAACAGCACTTTTGTCCATTTAAATATTTTATGTTAAATTAGAGTACATATATAATTAAACAGATGATCATAATGCAGGTATTCAGAACCTGTAACCAGTGTAGTACTCACATTTACTTGAGTAAGTTGTTCTCGAGAAATTGTACATTTATAGCATTATACTTTTACTACTTGAGTAATATTTTTATTGAAGTAACAGTACTCTTTATGTTGACAAAATGAAATGATTTGAACAACTGTGTTTCTTGCGCTGCTCCTTCAGATATGATTTTATTTGTCTCTATAATTTGCAAATACCTGATTTTGTCCTTCAAATGACATGTACTTCAAATGACAAATCAGAGATTACTGCTAAATTACTCTTGAATCAGTTGAAATACTTTGTAACTTTTACTTGTTTTCACTTTTACAAATCAAGCTGTTTTGTGTGTACAAGGAAATACACTTAAAATATTCCCCTTGAGTAACTTTTTAAACATCACTTTTGGCCATTTAAATATTTTATGTTAACTTAGTGTCCATATATAATTAAACAAACGATCATAAGTATTCAGTATCTGTAATCAGACATGTGTAGTACTCACATTCACTTGAGTAACTTGTACTCAAGAAATTTATAGCAGTATACTTTTACTACTTGAGTAATATTTGTATTGAAGTAACAGTACTCTTAAAATGAAATGAAATTTGTACATTTGTGTTTCTTACGCCGATATGATTTAGTTTATCTCATTTTTGTCTCTATAATTTGCAAATATGTGATTTTGTCCTTCAAATTATAAATCAGATGTTACTGTTCAGTTACTCTTACTTGAATCAGCTGGAATACTTTGTAACTTTTACTTGTTTTCACGTTTACAAGTCAAGCTGTTTTGTGTGTACAAGGAAATACACTTAAAAAGTTCCCCTTGAGTAACTTTTTTAACATTGCTTTTTGCCATTTAAATATTTTATGTTAAATTAGTGTACATATATATTTAAATAGATGATCATAACGCAAGTATTCAGTATCTGTAATCAAAGACATGAGTAACTTGTACTCAGTATATTTATAGTGTCATACTTTTACTCCTACTTGTATAATATTTGTATTAAAGTAACAGTACTCTGACAATATGAAATGATTTAGGTTTCTTGCACTGCTCCTTATGTTTGTTTGATTGATATGATTTAGTTTGTCTCATTTGAAAATATCTGAATAATCACACTGGATAATTTCTTGGACCTCTACTTTCGATTTGAGTAATATTATATTGAAGTAACGTTACTCTTACTTGAGTAAAATGTTTAGGCTGCTCTACCCCCTCTGCAGTGTGTAATTAAATACATTTACTAATCACCAGTGTACAAACTTTAAAAAACACTTTCTAAATGAGAATAAAGGCACCACATCATGACATCAGCAAGTTGAACAGAGAATTTTAACTGGATTATTCAAACTGTGAACAGTGAAACAGCACATACGCCATTCATGAGGGAATAATAAAAGTTAAAAATTGTCAGTGGAGCATGATCTGTGCTCTTTAAAACTCCTACTGTATATGACACAAAATTGACTCTTGTGAGCTTTACGCAATATTAAAATGTTGTTACCTCCTCAAAAACATACTTAGAGTTGTGCTTTGTTTCATTTTACCTTTTGCACTGGAAAAAAAACAATATCTAGTTAAATTAAAATGACTTAACCTAAGAACGTTTGGCTTTATTTGAGGTGATCCAACTTGAAAAGTGAAATTATCTAACAACGGATTAAGCAACATTAGATTTAGTTTCTTATTTTCAGTGCAAAAAGTTATTGTTTTTTCTTATTTTAAGTGTAGCAAGATGTATTTTCATGCACAAAAAGTCTTAAGATAAAAGATAATTTTACATGTCAAGTGAAATTTACTCAAATCATAATCAAACTTTTTAAATTCAAGTCATCTTAACTTGGCTAGATTTAGTTTTTTGGAGTGTGTTTAGTTGA